AATGCCTGAGGATCGTACAAATTATACTAATGAGGATTATTTCAATTTGTTTGTTATTTATGGAAAATGTGGCAAAATAATTTCAAGAACATGTAGAGAATCAGCTGCTTTTTTCTAGATATTTTAGTTGTGTTGCCATGTTGGCAAATTTTTAAAATTTTCGGAGCAGTACTTTCCTAGATATCGATCGACGCAGTTCTCGGTGGGACACCCTGTATATTATAGTAATTTACCTTGTCTGTTGATTTTGGATAAAAAACAGGTACTTGAATTTGTTTCCCAGGTTTCAAAGCCCTCTTGTTATTTTTTCTCGTTGTAGAATTTGACAAAAATCGGTGTTATTTTTTTATTTAAAATCTAACTACACCACTAGATTCTGCACCCCCTTAATTGTTTGTACCGAATTTCGCGAAAAATTAATGATTTTTATCATTTCTTTGCACTGGATTTTTGTTTAAGTGTTATATTAAATTTTTACAATACAACTGATTAGATTTAATCAATTGACATCTCAATTAATAACAAATAACGTGAAAAAAAATAGTTCGGTATGATTCTTGTAGATATTGTTATTTTAGCTGATAGACCCTACAGGCTGTTTCAAATTTTGCTAGGAACATTTTCGAAAAAAATATAAAATAAATAACGGCTATATATAAATTGTGAAATTAAAGTTATGTTACTGAATGAAAAATAAATCTGTGAAATCCAACAAATATTTTATTTGATATTTTAACACAAATTCTATATCCCCAAAGGAAATAATCAGATTTAAATCCAGTGATCTAGGGGACCACGGTTGCTTAGGTTGGTTCGTTGTACTTTTTCCTATCCATTCATTTTGATGTTCCCGAAAACTAAACCAAAAAGCACTGGTTGATTTTCAATAAAGTCCANTTAAGCGGATTTTTGGTACCTGTAAAGGGCACAGGTACCACTACATTAAAGTATACCAACAAATTAAAACATTTAATACTAAGTGTTCCATTTTTGCTGTTACATTTTCATAACTTCAAACAGCTATAACTGTGTTAACTTAAATAGAACACCCTGTACTTTTTACTCTGCCGTATGCAGAATTTCCATATAATCATTGTTATGGTTGCCGTTACTACTTTTAGAGATATTTGCAATTTTTTATTTTTGGGCAGTTTTTCTCGTATCAGACCTGCTGTCAAATTGGCCATGACCAGAAACAATCCAAAAACAATTAAAATGATTTGACATTTGTCAAGTTAGTTGTCAAATTATTGTTGTGTTTGAATAATTTTTGCCGAAAATTTAAATAAAAATAAAATAACTACACCACTAGATTCTGCACCCCCTCAATAGTTTGAATTTTTGTTTAACTGTTATATTAAATTTTTACATTATAACTGATGAGTTTTGAATCAATTGGGCATCTCAATAAATTGTGAAATTAAAGTTATGTTACTGAATGAAGAATAAATTTGTGAAATCCAACAAATATTTTATTTGATATTTTAATACAAATTCTATGTCCTTAAAGGAAATAATCAGATTTAAATCTGGTGTTGGTTGGTTCGTTGTACTTTTTCCTATCCATTCATTTTGATATTCCCGAGTTACTAAACCAAAAAGCGGCAATGCTTCGTCTTGTATGAACCTTAAAGGTATAGCGGATCAAGTTGTACATCAAGAAGAACCACTGGTTGATTTTCAATAAAGTCCAAGTATACTTGCCATCTAACCTTAATGGAAGAGAGGACAGTGCAATAACAGTAAGGTAATTTTGAATAGTACCCATCAAAACATTTAGTGAAAATGTTAATAAATTAACTTTCCTCGTTAAGTAAGGATTTTCATATGTCCGTTGATGATTGTTGAGAAAGGACAGGAAAAATTCTCCTCGTATTTAAATAGAATCTGATTTAGAAACAAATAATCTTTAGTTGTTTTCTAAAGTATCCATGACATAAATTTAATCGCTGAGAAAAATCATTTGGCAACAATTCTTGAATATGGTACGGATAAAAGTGACAATGTTTCATAAATCTTTAAAATTGTTTGGTGAATATTAAATAAAACACCAATTTTTTTAATACTTGTTTCATGCGATACTTTTCATACTTTTAAGCATCTACAGATGGGTAGGAAAGCAATGATACTTGGGCAATAGATGTAAAATATGACATCTGACATACGCTTTATAGGTTATAACTCGCTCACATGCCAACAAAGGTGGTGTAACTAATTTAGGTCTTCCAATATCATCACATCAGTAAATTTCACAAAAGTTCCTGTCTCTTGGAGCTGCTGATGGTTGCTTGGGAAAGTTTTTGCACAAGGTAATTCAACTTTCCTAAGCTGCGTTACTGTCAGGAAATCCGTAAACAAGAAGATTACCAAATTATGAAACTAGTAATAACCATAAAACGTTTGTCTTGATTTAAGATGTCAAAATAAATACTATTCCTATTTTTTTTTTTTATTTGCAAAACTTGTTTGTATCCATTATTTCTTCCGTAATTTATTTGAGAGTGTTAAAACCGTTTGTTTTTTAATGAAACTTTAAAGATTTGCTTTCAAATCTTGGAACAATCAGTATCGTGTAATTTTTCTCAATAAATAGCGATGCAAAAAAAAATTGGTAGGTCAGAAATGTTTTCTAGGAGCTATAATAGTGTATCAAATGTCAATAGTCCATCTCTTTCGGTTCCTATTACATAAATAGAAATTAATTACGACATACAGGGTTACAATTTAATTGTCCAACACAGGTGTCTTTCTTATTTTAATAGATACAGAAAGGGTTATATGAGCAAAAATGTGCAAAATTTTATGCCGAATACGGATTTGTTTTTAAATTTAAAAAATTCCGAACAGTTCCGAAGATATTAAAAAGAAATCGATTTTAACTTCTTTCTTTTTTACTCGATTTTTCAAAATTTCGCTGTTTTGATTTTTGCTGTTTTGAAATTTTGATTTTTGTTGTCAGTATTTACGTATCTCTAAAAAAGTGTGATGAGCGGAAGTTAACTATTGTTTTTGTAACGCCATATTGAATATTGATTATAATTATAAGTTCAATAAAAAAGTCATGCAAAGCGTATGAATTTTTTCTATAAATTAATTTAATATTTTCTATTTTTAATACTTTTTAACATAGCGTTCTTTATTTACATAACAATAACAAAAGCAACGAATAAAACGGCATAGATAAAGCAAAACAAAATTAAATGGTAAATTTTAATATTATCACAAATGTTCGAAGCGCATACCATTACTTGGCGGTACAGTTACTTGGCCGCCGAGAAGTCCTGATTTGCTGCCATTGACTTTTTCGTTTATGGTTATGTTAAGGATATCCAAGGCGATACTACAATGAGGAAGAATTAAGAATAATTCACAGGGTAACAATTTTCACACCCAAAAACCAGACCTCACGTGCCCGAAGGTTTCTGGTGCGTAGAATCCGAATTTGGCGTCAGAATTGCTTCTATACGTCACGTTTCCGAGATATACTAACCTAAAAGTGCAAAAAAACATTTTTTTGCTATATTTGAGCTTATATCACAGAGCGAAATTTTTTTTTCTAAAAATGAATCATGCCTTCTAAAACTGCCACTCTTACACTTCAAAACGCTTTTTTCAGATTTGAAATATCTTTTTTATTCGCGGAGATATCATTGAATGAAAGGGGATGGTAAGGGGGTGCTAGCGAGTAAGAGAGGGGTTAAATTCATTTTTTGTAGTCATTTTCGGTTTCAGCGTCCCAAAAAAACATAGAAATACGCATACATATTAATTTTGTACGAAAATTTAAAATTAAACCCCCTTCAGGGGGTGTTAGCGGGAAAACAGGCAATTGAAATCATTTTTCATGGTCATATTCGGTTTCAGCGACCCCAAAAACCTAAGAATAGTGGGGTCTATCTTCTGGTTCATGAAATTGTTTTTTGTGTGCGTCTTTATTATTAATTAAATTATTTATTTATGAAAACCCCATAAACTATACATCGTTATAAAGAGAATTTCCCTTTTCTTATGAGGCAAAAATTCAATATGGCGTCCATAACAAAAAAAAAATAACTATCGCCCACTTTTAGAGATAATACTGACAGCAAAAATTGATTCCTCACATCCTTTAATATCAGATTACACATTTTTGCCATACAATTTTGAAAAACAAGTGAAATATGTCCAAAAAAAGATACAGTACAAGATCAGTTTCCTCCGAATATCTTCGGAACTATTCGGAATTTTCTAAACTAAAAAACGAATCCGTGATCGGCATAGAATTCAGCACATTTTTGCTCATTTATTTTATTATTATTTTCTTTATTATTTTTTGCTCTGTATTTCTTAAAATAAAAAAGATACCTGTATTGGACAATCAAAAAGTTGTAATCCTGTATGTTCAACGGAAATTTGTTTGTTTAAATTAACTGAGGAACCATCTCCTTTACCATGAGAATGTACCATGTAAACTAAAAACTGAAATGCCCGTAAAAAGTCTGTCTTAGTTTAACGATTTGTTAAAACGTCATGCAATTTTTTTTATTTGCGTAATAATGCGTTAATAAAAATAAATATACAACTAAACTATAAACTTACAAATATAATTGCTTCAGTATGTAGCGCATACGGAACGCGATAAACTGCGAATTATTTAAAATTATTAAACTGCAACGTCCTGCTTTGTTTTTTATTCTCGTGCAGAATTATCAAACGTAATATTATTGCGAACAACCTGTGGAACTGTTAGGAAATATCTAGTTTTCGCGAATCACCATACAATAGATCAACCCGAAAAATTATTAAATAACACAAAGCACACATTTGTCCAAATTCACACATTTGGAATTTTCAGCCAAATTGGACCTTATTGTAAAATAGTAAAAGTAATTTTTCTTTTGTGAGGTGAATGTAAAAGCGTTCGGATGCTCCTCTAGTGTGAATCTTCAACGGGCTAGTGGGAGAAAAGACTATTTAAATCAAATGGGATGAACTGTGGGTATCATATGATCAATAGTTAGTGCAATTACAACATGAAACCACTAGTGGTACGTACACAAACAGTTTATTTTTACTTGCGTTTAGAAATTTCGCCCGCCAAACCGTCAGGCGACCGGCACGTAGTGACAGTGAGAGATTGTGTTCGGTTTTTCGTTTTGGATTCGGGTTTAAGGCTTACAAGGGTCAAAATTTGTAAATGATTCGTTCAATTTGTTTTGTTCAAATTATTTTCACAAAATTGATTATTGTATTGGTATTAACTTTATTATTTTTTTTGTCTGAAATGTATATATTACTTTTTCATCGGCTTTTTCTTCGTTGTGTTAAAATGAAGGAAATTCATAGTCAAAAATTATTCCGTGGATTCAAGGCGTTATTAGTTTTTTGTTGGAGAAGTAAAGCATAATTTTTAATCCCTGGAGATTAATCTTGCACGTCATTGTATTCAAATTTGACATATTTGGCCTATGACACAAAAAAATAGATATGTACACTTGACTAAAATTTCTACCTAACTTTCGGGATTAGGTATTGACTGTAATAGATATACATATAGTATAAAATTATTTATTAACATTTAAATAACATATTTCCATATAAAAAAAGGTGCCGCGATATATTGATTGTATTTATGATTGTATTTTATCTTTATGTTGATATATGAATATTTCGTTACATTTTTAAATAAAAATCTTTCCAAAGTTGTAAAGAACTGAACATTTTTTAAATTTTGAATTTTGATGGGTGTAATATCAGCAAAATATTGGAGAAATTTCATACACGTTGAACTATAGACTAATTTAAAATGTTCATCTATACATTAGTATCAAGACAACAAAAAAATTAAGACAAGCATACCTTACACAACTCTTGCTAATTGATTTAAAAAAAGGTAACTAATTACGTATATTATACTAAAAAATTCACATATAGTTTCCCACGATTTCTCTAAAATTCTCACGGTTGATAAGTGATCATTAAACTTGTTCCAAATGTTACAGCTTTTGGGTAGGATCTAAAGCTCCACAATAGTTTTTTGTTAACGATGTAGATGATTAATTACAGTATCCGTTAAAAATTTCTGTGGATTTAGTGAGACTAATCCAGTAAATATACTTTCTATTTCATGTTTGTTTAGTATAAAAATAGATTTGTTCCGAAAATAAATGAAAATGCAGTTCAGTGAGGGTTTCGATTTCATATATCAGCTTAATTTATTAATTATGTAATATACGTGGTATATAATTATAAGTTTAATAGAACTTTAACTTGTTTTTATAACATGAATAAAAAAATTTAAATTACGTTAAAAGAATAATCACTACCACACGCCATAGTTTCGAACCTCAAAATTAAATTTGACTTGAAGTAAAACGTAACAGTTTTTTTGTCTCTTTTATGTACCTTCTATAGAAATATAAGATGTCATATAATATTTATTCTGTTATTGTTATGTTTATGTTATTCCATAACATGACCGCTTTGCTATACATGATGATAAGTTTCCGAATTTTCCGATTCCAATATCTAAAGTGTAGATCTTCAGTAGTCATGTTGTTAGTCAATGAAATAGCATAAAAATTTTGAAAAAGGAAAATAGTACGGTAAAAAAAATTATAATATATAAGCTTTGACACATGTACTTCAAAACTTCCTAAATAGTATTGGTGGAATATTTTCATTGACAAAGTAAAGAATAATAAAATAAATATGCCATGATTTTTTATTTTTCTGGGGGAGGTAGATAAACAAAACAAAAACCCATTTGACTTTAAGTAAATTTGAGTTTCGAAACGTTAATTGTGTTGGAAAGAATTATCTAAGTACTTCCTCAATGTGGCATATTTCTTGTTAGGCAAAACTAAATTTATAAAATCAATGATTAATTCTTTTGGCACAAGGGATCATTTATTAAAAGCAGATCCTCTCAGTGTAATGTCCAAATAATTAAAAATAGTATCAGAAATTACTACAAATAAATAATTACAAACAATTTCATTAAGTGTTTAAGAATGTGATTTATATTTTAAGTCCTCTGTATAGAATGATATAACTACAATCTCCCTTTTTTAGTTGTACAATATATGCATTTAATCTAATCTTGAATATGGGCTCTTTCATATTTTGACATTATCAGTCTTTGGAAATTTACATGAAAATATTTTACTAAAAAAAATTTCCTTATAAAAATTTGGAACAAAGTTATTAAACTATTCCGAATCTTCTACAATTAATTGTTTTTTGTCAAAAATGTTGAAGACTATTGGATACGTGATTTTTTCTACTTTTTTCCGAGGCCAATTTTAATTCCCCATTAATTTTTCGGCGTACATCGTGTATCAACGATATAAACTGTAGGGTACTTCGGAAATAGTGTTATAAATTTTTTAAATAAATAAAAAATATATACGGGGTGATTCAATAATAATTGTACATACGCTAACTGAATAAACCTGGGCTGCAAATATGAAGAACTGACACATAACGCTTAGAAAAAATATGGCTCTTTATAGAGTTACAGGGTGTTTTATTTAAAATTTTTTAAAACATTATTGCCCATTACTTCAACCTTGTTGGATATCTCCCTATCATAATTGGCATAAAGTTTAGAGACTTTAGAACATATTAAAAAATGTTACAAAATCGTTCATGGCTACTACCAGAGGCGTACGACAGGGGTAGAGGGGCAGCTTGCCATTCCTAACTTTTACGCCACTGGCGGAATTTTTATTTTGGTACAATTTTTCAATTCTTCAATACCTTATATGCAATTAACCTACTATTCCTTCATAGCAGTAAAGTCATTATTTCTCGAATCATTTTTATTTTATGTAATTTATTTGTTATATTACTATTATTGTTATTATTGTTATTCAAGTCGGTGTTTTCTGCCATGGGATTGCATTGCATTAGTTGAATTATCAAACAGGGTTAAAGTAATGGGCAAAAATAATTTAAAATTTTTTAAATAAAACACCCTGTAACTCCGTAAGAAGCCATATTTTTACCAAAGCGTTATGTGTCAATTCTTCATATTTTCAGTCCAAGATTATCCAGTTAGTGTATGTACGTACAGTTATTAATGAATCACCCTATATATGAAAAAAAACTGGTACAAAAATCAGTGGCGCCTCTTAACTTTCATACCAGGGAGGGCTATGCGCTACTCCCACTCCGTCTTCCACTGCTGCATGACGGTAACCGTGACCACCGCTGTAAACACTTTACAGACGTAGGAGCGAGCTAACATGTAAACTAAATTTTGAATTAAATTTTTTTACTATGAAAATTTCTATCGGGGCACCGCCTCAGAGCCGCCACTGACAAAAACGCATATGTATGTCGCGCGTACGTTACTTAAACAAACCGTCTTGCACAAAATTCACTCAGTATTCCCCTGCGCTCGTCTAACGCTTTCTGTGAGCGCGTCTAGCCGTGAATAGCTAAAAGGTCGCCATAGCGGAGGTCACCGGAAGTGGGTGATCGCCAGAAGAAAGTCCTTATTCGGTCCTTGTCGAATCCACTTAATTGCCGATGGCGCTCGACGGAATAATGCATTAGAATTTCTCTTGCGGTGCGTGTTCCCGCAATCATCTCCGTTGACAATGAGATGGACGGCATTAGTAAAAGTAAGAACGTCTTGTAATTATCCACGCAAGTGATTTTCACTTCGATTAGAAACGTCGGCGGTGTCATCTGCCCGCCGTTGATGCGGCCTACAAAGTAGTGATACCTCGCCCCCTCCCCCACATAACTCTTGAGTTCCGGATAAACCTTTTAATAGAACGAGATTACTACTTTCTCAGGGACAACACTAGAAAATTTTCACTTGAAGGCGAAACCCAACCACTGACGCGTTATCGCCTAGTGACATCATTACTAGTGGTTCTAATCGCAAATACCAGATGAATCGATAATTTCAGTAAATATTACAAGATTAATTACATCGTAAAATACAATTTTAAATAATTTCATATATGTATAATCTGTTTGATTAGAAAAAAAAAAACGATGTGCATTGCACTTGTTCTTTATTTCTATCTGAAGGGAATAGAAAAAATGAGCCTATAATTCAAGTTTTTTGATTTACATTTAAAGGACATATGTATGTAGATATTAATGACAGTATGTACTCGTATGTATTTTCAAGTAATTTTGCAGAGATTTAAATAAAGGAAAATATATATTTATTTAATATCAGAGTACTTTATATTTATTTTATTTCACAGAACTTTCAAATACGTTAATACATATCGTTCGCTTCTATTCCCTTTATCGAATGACATATCCGATGAAATGACGTCACTCCAAAAGCGTTGAGGCTTTGTAATCTAAGTGGTGACGTTCTATACAATTAAATTGTCGGTATGCAATTAAGTTTAATGTTTAGCTGCCTTTCGAATCGTTTTTACTTTGCAAACTGGACTAGGTATTGGCTTTCTGACTATTTCATTCCCGAAAATTAATTTTTTTACAGTTACTGTCCACTTTGGTGGCACTGGCCTCTGCCAAACCTGAAGCTGGCTACAGCTATAGCCCCCCGTCTAGTTCGTACGGAGCTCCATCCGGCGGCGGTGGAGGTGGATTCTCTAGCTCTGGAGGCGGCTTCGGAGGAGGAATAGGCGGAGGTTAGTATCTGCATACAGAAGTCTAACTAACTCAGGTCTGGAACGTAAAGTGGAAGGTTCCATTTCAATAACTTTATCTGTAATCGTTACCAAGTTACGTGATTACTTTCAGGTGGCGGCGGATTCGGAGGCGGTGGCTTCGGTGGAGGCGGATTCGGAGGCGGTGGCATCGGAGGCGGCGGTCTCGGAGGCGGCGGTCTCGGAGGCGGCGGTCTCGGAGGCGGCGGCGGCGGATTCGGAGGCGGCGGCGGTGGATTCGGAGGAGGTAAGTGCAATTTTATGCGAAGATGTGTGGGTTTTTAGCACTATTAACATTTTAGGTCTTGGAGGAGGCTTCGGAGGAGGCGGCGGCGGCGGCGGCGGTGGAGGTGGTGGATTCGGAGGTGGTTTCGGCGGCGGCACCACCGTCCAGAAACACATCTACGTGCATGTTCCTCCACCAGAACCTGAGGAGTTCAGGCCGCAAAGACCCATCTCTGTTGGACAGGCACAGAAGCACTACAAGATCATCTTCATCAAGGTAAATGTTTCAGAATTGTAAACCAACATATTCAAAGGCTTGGAAAAATATTAAAATTCCAGTTTCTTGAAATCATCCTCTATTTAGTCCCTCTTTATGACTTTTCTAAACCAAATTAATTCCTTTCTTTCCCGTAATTCCATTTATCCTTTATTACTCTTCATTTTGTAGTCATCTGTATCTTTAGTGCATACAATTTATTACCAGTACTCTTTCGTTTTCAATACATTTAATAAATTCTATGAATTTGTATCTTTTCTTGAATATCTACTGCTTCAAAACCCGTAACAATGTTATTTAATCTTCCTGTGATTTTCTTGACAATACCAACAACTTTTCCTACTTCATTTCTTTAACTCATTGCTAAACATACCTCTAAGACTTCAAATGATATTACATTTAATCTTTCAATTTTTTCATTGGTTTTTACAATACCATTTTTTTTTCAGGCACCAAGTGCACCAACCCCAACTGCTCCAATAATCCCAGTACAACCACAGAACGAAGAAAAGACCCTAGTCTACGTCTTGGTTAAGAAACCAGAAGACGCACCAGAAATCAATATTCCAACTCCAGCACCGACGCAGCCTAGCAAACCTGAGGTCTACTTCATCAGATACAAGACTCAGGTAAGATTTGTCCATTCCGTACATCGATATGTTCACTTTCAACGCTTGAATTAGTATTTCTCTTACTATTTTCTTCCAGCTTCTTGTTATTTCTTGTGAGTTGAAAATATCACCGGATATTATAATTATAAATGATTATTTCAACACAAAAAAAAGTCAAATTAACTTTCAACCGGAAGATGAGGAGCCCCGAGTCGGTTCCTTGCGGAACACTTCCGGAAGCCGCGCTAACGATATTGTTGAAGCAATTGTACTGTATAAGGTCAAAATAACTTAATTCTTACTCTCTATGTTCCTGCGGCACCTAATCTTGTACTTTCATCATGTCGTGACCTCTTCTACATCGAGATACAGGAAAAAAATAAATAAGTCGGCGGTATTTCACAAAGGAAAGTGCAGGGTTTACTTTCTCTGCCAGCAGATGTGCCGAGAAAACAAGGATGGCACTCTTTCTCAGATCAAAAGTAAATTCAATTAGTAATTGTTCGAAATGGCAAAACATGTTTTATGGCCTTAAAAAAACCACAAATTTATGCGAGATCAACTTTTATTCCTAATATATTCTAAAGCTTTAACAAAAAACTTGGTAGCTTATATAATTTAATGTAAATTTGATATTTAAATATCTTATTAACTTATATTTTGACTTACAATGTCTGACTTACAATCCATGTAAAACTACTATTTCTGCAAAATTTTACAAAACAGTTTCAATGTATCATCAATTTACTTTACTTACTTTAACTTGACAGTAAATTTTGATATATTCCTTGAAATACATTATATTCCGTCATAGAAACAGTTCTTGCAGTGTACCTCGAAAGAAATCTATAAGCGGATGCAGAATATAAAAAGACTATTTCTCTCAGTGTAGCAGGTACATACGGACCACATTTTTACGAAAGTTTCATCTGCTTAAACATATGGCGATGCGAGACATTGCATATGCTCATTTTTTATCGACACACTGTTCTGAATAACACTTGCAAAGACATTATACCGCGATTTTGTTCCAACAGACTTCCGGAGGCGGCGGAGGTTTCGGTGGTGGCGGCGGCGGCGGAGGCGGTGGTTTTGGAGGTGGTATTGGAGGTGGACTCGGAGGCGGACTCGGAGGCGGACTTGGAGGTGGACTGGGAGGCGGACTTGGAGGTGGACTGGGAGGTGGAATTGGAGGTGGAATTGGCGGTGGCATTGGAGGAGGAATTGGAGGTGGTAAGTGTCAATTTTTAAGCATTTTTTGATGCAGTGTGTTAATTTGAGAAAAGTTGCGCAGTTACTTGCCCAAGAAGTGTCTGAGTTACGTTTCCAATAATCTTTCCTAATAATCATTTTTGTTTTTTAAAATATTTTTATTTTTCGAGTATTTTCCCTTAAATCTGATTTCATATTTTCATTTGTTCATATTTATTTCACGAGTTTTTTTATATGAATTATACAGTAAGTTAAATGTTGAAAATTTGCCCAATTCTTATTCTTAATTTTGTTATTTTATTATAAATATACGTTCAACGTTGAAATTATTTGACAAATTTCATTCAACATTCATTTTTTTAAGTCTTCAGACAAAAGTTTGATGAAATAAATTACTTAAATTTAATTTCACGCAACTACTATACTTGTGTCTGTAAACAACGGATTTCTTCTCTTTTTTGTTTTAAATAATGAAAATAACAAGATAGCATCTTAATTCTAAACCTGTTTTTTGTTACATAAAAATTGTGAATTTAAAATTGTTGTTACATATCTGGGCCATGATAGTTGTAATTATAATCAGACAAGATCTCTTTTGTAACTCATTACTTTGCACATGGTACAACTTATATGTTTACCCAAAATTTAATAACAGTTCTGTCATAAATTAATAAAAAGTTATAGTGCAGTTTGGATTAAACTGTCTTTTCTTCATGTGATTCGTATTCTTGACCACTACTCTGACGTCACGAATTTAGCACTCTGGCCTATTTGTATCGATATTGCTTGGTGTGTCGCAGCTATTACACGAACTAAATCTGTTGCAGGACTCGGTGATGGACACGGAGGCGGTATCGGTGGAGGTATCGGAGGCGGCCATGGAGGCGGTGGCGGCGGTGTATCCACAAGCTACGGACCCCCCGGCAAAACCGGTGGCCCCTACTAGGCACTTACTAAGTTACCTCCGCGACGGCTGAGCATCCTCTTCGGTCGTCGCAACTCCCCCCACCTAAAAAAAAAGATGAAACGGTGATGCCGATTCGTCCGGAATTTCCCCAGAAATCGGGACGAGTCATTCCCGTGCGGCGTTTTCGATAAAATTGTGGAATTCTGTGTTTAAAGACTAAAAAAAGTTCGCCGTATCATTTGGGAGGATTTTGTAGTTTTATCGGGAGCGTTTCATGTTGTAAATATCGTGCAATATATTAATGTTACATATTTTATATTTTTGTATATTTTTTGTATGAATACGGTGACAAATAAATGTATTTTTTTAGTATAATTTTCAGTCTTTCCATAATACCCTGCAAATATAGGTACACACTGGCTTTAAAAATGGATCAGTTTATCAGTTGAAAACTAGGAAATGTCAGGAAATATTGTGATGTATATAATCAGTAATTTCATCAGCAAGTTGTTACTAGTGGAGTGCCACAAGGGTCTGTTTTAGACCCTATATTTTTATTATCTACAGTATGTCCACGGTTAGAGTGGAAAAGAGGGAAAATATTTTTATTTTTCATTTTACGAGAAAAAGGCGTTCTTGCTTGTCTTGCATGGAGAACTTTCATCTTGCAGGGTGATCAGAAAATCGATAAAGAATAAACTGCCATTGTTTTTAATAATACAGAAATATGTTATTAAGGGAAGTTGATTAGAATTAAAATTTATATTATAATTTCAATTTGTGTATGAATCGGCCTACTTTGATAGAAGCGGACAGTAAACAATTTTTATTGTCATTTTACGAGACTAAATTTTTCCTTGTCTTTAAAATAGCTTTAAAATGTCATTTAAAGATAAGCAAAAATTTTAATCAAGAATGCCTTTTTCTCGTAATGTGAGCAAAAATTTTTTACTGTCCGTTTCTATCAAAGTAGGCCGATTCATACACAAATTGAAATTGTACCTAATATAAATTTCAATTCTAAGCAACTTTCCTTAATAATATATTTCTGTATTGTTAGAAACAGAGGCAGTTTATTCTCGAATAAATTTTATATTTACCGATTTTCTGATCACCCTGTACTTGCAAGATAAAAGTTCTCCAAGTCAATCGCATTTCAAATACAAGCAAAAATTTTAAGCAAAAATGCCTTTTTCTCGTAAAATGAAAAATAAAAAATATTTTCCCTCTTTTTCATGTTAACCGTGGACATACTGTATACCTTGGTTTGAAAAAGATCTCAATCAGTGGAAGTCACTTTTACGCTGATAATTTTAAACATTTTAGACATTTTAAACATTATTTTAAATTTTTATTTTTAAATTAAAAATTTTTAAAAATGTTTAAAATTTTTAACAATTCAAGTAAATTCTAATAAATAAATAAATTCTATCAATTCTTTAAAATATAAAATTATATTATTTGAAAGACCTTTTAGAATTTGGTAGAAATCGATCATCGATATCTTCAATATTTCCTTCAGAGAATTCTTTTTTTTTTTAGTCAGTTTTAAAAATTATAATCAGACGCGTTTACAAAAAATATTTGCGCTTCTTCCTGCAGCCAGGTTCTATTCACGTTTCATAGCACTACGACCTTATCAGGTCTATTGTGTGCCCCACAGCTCAAACCTAAGCAAGTAGCTTTGTCCTTTTAACAAAGTCCAAAAGCTTCCTTGCCGACAATTCTCTCAGCTCCTTGGGTTCTTGAAAGGGTTTTCCCAGGAGCGTCATTCTACTACATGTGTGCAAATATGAAGAGAGATTTCATCCGTCAAGTCACATTCTTGACAGACCGGACTACCTATAAGCCGTGGCTTGTATAGATCTTTCCTAACGTTACAGTGTCCCGTTAAGTACAGTCACTTTCCTGAACCGAATTTTATTCAAGTTGAGCAACTCATTTGTGGTCCAGTATTTTCCATGTTCTGACTCTGTCCATTTGCCCAGAGCGCTTCCACACTAGGAGATGTGCCAATGAAATTTATTTTGATCCCTTCCTAGCAAGTTCATCCGCTTTCCCATTTCCGTCAATGCCTTTATATCCTGGCATTCAACACAATCTAACTGTATTAGTAAACTTACCTTGTGTGTGTCTAAAGCCTTAATTGCTTGCCATTATCGCAAAAATTCTACTTGAAATACAGTGGAAAACCTCCCCAGACTGTAGCTTGCACTCGATCTGGGTGTCTGGCTCCATCTTTCCACGGTTTCAAACTTTTCCCCCCATTTGCTCTGATCCTCTACTCCAGTCTTGAATGGATTATGGAAGTGAAACCTTGGAACCATCTTGTCGGATACCATCCGCAGAGCTGGTCTATAATCCTAGAATAGAAACTACCTTTCCAGTCGTTATTGTACCTGAGTCAGTATGTTACTAACCACACTTCTCTTTTCACCACTATATGAAGCAGTGGCAGATTTAGCGTGACTTCCAGCAGAACTGCCTCATGGTCATGACATCACTCCCATTATACCCAAACAAGCCAATCTAGGGCTTTTATTCAGTTTTTCCCTCGCTGTGGTCTATCATGTCTTTTGCCACCATACCACAGCGCCATAAAATATCCTATAATTGGTCTTACTATCGATGCACGAGTATTCATCCAGTATGATATCCTTGGCTTCAATCCTCAGGTTTTACTGATAAGGAGACGACTTACACACAGCGTCTGCTTCGCCTTACTTACTACTTTTTCCAAGTGTGAATTCCAGGTAAGCTTGTCATCCAGTATCAGTCCTAGATATTTTACTTCCCTGGAAAGATGAATACACCTCTCCCCTAATATAGGTTCAGAGAGTCCGGTCAAAAGACACCGCATAAAAGAAATGGAAAAGGGGGTACAGTCAAATGGACTGAAAATCTAGTACGCTGTACTTCCTGACATTACGATAAAAAATCCTCATAGTCAGGAATATCGGTATCCAATCTGTCATAGTTGAGAGTATCATATGGCATAAGGAATTGTTTAACGTTACTCTAATGTATTCGGACATATCAACAAGTGTGTTGATAAGGGTGTGGAGAGTGCTCCCTCTCTTACACATGCGTATGTGTACCATACAATCATACTCTCGTCCCACCCACCCATCCTTATTAATACTTCTCCAATTTTTTCACCAAAGGGAGGGTCATAGTTGACTATATGACGTTAAATTATAAAATGAATGCGACAAGCTTTTAATTCTGTGTCACGAGACCTATGTCTAACAAAAAAAATTCGATAAAATTGGTCAATAAATAAAAAAGTTGTGATGTGATGGTGTCAAGCACACTCTATATGTAAAGCAAATTAGAAATATTTAATCGAGTGATAATTATTAAAAGATAAAAGTTTTATATCCCTTGTCTTAAATTTGCTATGTAACAAGTTTTTTCTAGCACAATCAGCTCACCTTCTCTTCAAGTTACCTTGGAGCAAATAGAAGGAAAATGTTATGTGGAAATTCACAGAAATAAATATATAATTTCTTGTTTCCTTTTCAACCTACCATAAACAAACAAAAGTATTTTTCCGAAGAATAATTTGAATATAAGCATGATATATTTGAAATTCGTACATATTTATTAGTTTTCACACCATTTACCACAACTTTTACATAGATGAAGGATAAAAAATAATTAAGGAAATTAGAATATAATTATTTCAGCTTGTGTACGTTCTAATAATATGTAAAGCTATTTATAAAAAAAAACAGTACGTACAGTAAATATAATAAGGGTATTTAATTATAAAACTAAAAATGGAACTTAGAGTCTATATATTTTTTCCCCATAAAAATACACATATTTGAATGCCTAGGCATACGAATTTTAGAGAAATAAATAGTGGGCTTTAAATTTGATTTACTATCAAGTATGCTGATTAAGACTTATTGCAACAATAACAATGTCTCAGTGGTAACGACGTTCAATAAAAGAATATCGCGCATCGTTTTGCAAAGTTGTACAAAAGCGTTGTGAAAACCGTGAATTTTAAGTGAGTTTGTGCAATGTTATGTGTTTTATGGGCGAAATTTAAAGGTAGGTAGCTACTATTACTACATAATTTGTAAATTTACAGTTTCCGTTTACCTAAATATTATCGAATTACATAGGATTATTTCCACATTTTACATGTTTATCATTACATTTAAGTATTTCGTAGCGTTTGAATATAGTAAAGGAGATATGAAATGCCGGGTGTATTAGTAATCGGCTACTAATCCGCAAATAAGATTGACATAGTTTATAATAATTGTTGAATAAAACATTGTATTCATTACCATAACCTTAAATTCCGAAAAAGAAACATAACAATTGTAACTATAAAAATAATTTTATAATCCATATTTCATTTTACCACGTTGGATTTTAAATCTCAGATTTGAATTGTTGTACCTACTGCAGACAGTCAGCCATTGGCATACGCAAGGGAGTAAGGGAGAATGATAAGAATTCTTGTATGTTTTCCCTTGTTGAAACAAAATCGAGTTTTTTTGTGCGTAATAATAATATATACATATTTTAATTATTAACAGTCTCAAATATGTTTCTGGACAATTAAAATTCAGTTTAAAAAATAAATAATAAACAACAAATACCGTGACTACATGTAGTACTGGTTGCATGCATCTAGTGACTAAAAGCCGACAGTTTTTATCATAAGCAATTTATAGCAAATAAAATATCAGAATACATCATCTCCTTTTAGGTAATAACAAAACGTACTATTTAGTAGTTATACCGTAGAACAATGACTTTTCTTTCTGCTGTATCTGATGAGATACAGATGTATGCTGTATCCTGATGGGTTTTTAAACGTGTTCATTATTTTGAAGAAAACAACTTCTCTGTGGACTGATGCTCATAACCAGCATAAAACACCTCATCGATAGATAGATATCAAAATCAAAATAACAGTTCATGATTCGTCAGTGGTCTGACATATAACATATTAATTAGAACTAGTGAGTCCGAAACCGGTATATATGTCTGGGTGTTCTTTACTGGTATATATCTGATGGATTCGGTTGACGAACGATTCTAATTGTTTATAAAATCTTGCAGGGTATCAATAATGATCGAGGCATTAATTCGACAATTTTGGGGGCTTTATCGTGACACCCTGGTTTTTTTCTTGTCTTATCTGTCTTTTGTTCTAACATTCTTATAAGTAAGTAGGTAGTAAGTGTAAAAAATTACTAAATATTTTTGAAATTACTATTTGTTCCATTTTACTATTTATAAAACATTGAATACGTGGTTGCATATTCGTCAAGACAAGAGTCTGCATAATATGCAGGTACTTATATAAGGTTTGTATGTAGTATTGGTTATTTATTAATAATTTAAATTCTCTAAGATAAAAATTAAAAATAGTATGAATTATCAAATTTTATACCTATGTGTTTGTAGGCAGAGACTATTTGAATATTTTTTATTGTCTTCCGAAATTTTGTTGTCAAAACTATTCAAACAAGACATATGAGAATTTTGATACAGTCGGTCATTATTCAGCATTTTAGAGAATATCATAGAAAATATAGTATTAATATTAAGTTTTCTATGGAGAATATACATATAAAAATTTAATCAAAAATCCATGACTTGGAATAATTTAATAATAGCTTCCCCTGTTGATAAAATCTGCTATTGAGAAGATAGGTAAACCGATTATTTTTTTATACACAGGGTAACGGTGACAATATTTTTAAAAGAAAATAAAATTTTGATATGAACCTCTTCCTGATACGGAGTTATCAAGTTTCATTTTTTTATTTTCTCCAACTAATGGAGATACTGAAATTAAATTTGAAACAAATCATAGCCTAAGAGCTGGCGTGATTTTTTTCCCATTATTTGTACCAAAGGATAAGCACATTAATGTTGAAATATGGTTCAAAGTGAGCAAATGTCGCTACGTCTGCTGTTGCAAACCGGTAGCGTTTAGCCGGAGGCGGCTACTCAAATTTGCTTTTTTTCAAAAACTCCTTGATTGTACTACAAATCATCTGCATACTATAAACTTCGGATTTAGGAATACAATTTGACCACAAAAGTGAAATGACATCAGACGCTATTTTAGCAATCCTGCATGACGGTCTAATAAAGCTTTTTATTTCCGTGGCATTCAAAAAAATGTGGCAGCAGATTAACGAGCATGCGTTGTATACTAACATTGCTTAACATTATTATTAACATTTTTGATAAAATATTAAATCAAATGTAGAGTTTTCTTATATACAAGGTGTCTCATAATTAGTGTCCAATAATTTACCCCTTGATTATATTGCCGAAAATAAGAATATTTTTTCAAATAAACATGGGTTAAGAAATGTTTCTTGGGAGCTACACCCCCTAAATGGGGCCTCAAAAAATACATTTTTTATAAATATTTTCAAAACGGGTTAAAGGAAAATTATGAATTTTGACACCATTAAAAGTCGAAGTAAACCATCATAAAATTTTTCAAAAATTTTAGTCAGAGGCGTCTTAACTGGGGGGTGGTCAGCTAAAATTTGCCCCTATTTTTTTGTTTGCCGAAATTTTCAAATTCGATCAAAATAACATCACCATTTTTTCATAGAAAACTCAGATCAATCAAATTTTACTAATTTTACTGTTTAAATTTGAATATAGCAACATATAAAAAAATTGGGACAAATTTTACCCGAATCCCCCCCCCCCCCTTGCTTGGTCGCCCATAACAAACTTCTCTAAGTATTTTTCACGTTGTTTATTACAATGTATAATGATATGATGACATATCAAAATTCATAATGGTACATGTGCCCATTTTAGCCATTCAAGACAAATTTTTTGAATTTTACCAAGGTGATGTAATGAATTGCTTAAATCAATTTTTCTCGGAAATGGAGCATTTTATCCAAAGAAATAAAGAGTAAAGGAAATGAAGATCTATCATATGTTGGCATCTGAATTTGAAAATTTCGACAGGTAAAAAAATAGGGACAAATTCTAGCCGACGATTAAAATTTTATGATCTTTTAATGAGCGTTCATGATGTCAAAATTCATAATTTTCTTTCAACCTGTTTGGAAAATATAAAAAAATGAATTTTTTGAGGCCGATGGCGTAGATCCCTTAGGAAGCATTTCTCGAGCCATGTTTATTTGACAAAATATTCTTATTTTTTACAATATAATCAAGTGGTAAATTATTGGATACTAATTATGAGACACCCTGTATAAAAGCAAATTCGACATTTGATTTAATATTTTATCAAAAATATTAATTATAATGTTAAGCATTATGTATTAGTATACGATGCAGGCTCCTTAATCTGCCGCCACGTTTTTTTACCACGAAAATAAAAAGCTTTATTAAGCCGTCATGCAGGATTGCTAAAATAAATAATGTTTACAAAAAATACACACGCTGGAAGTATGGCTTTCGTAATGGCATAAGTTTTAACTTATTTTAGATAGACGACTGTAAGTTAAAAAATGCAGCATGACAAGTTTATAGACACGCCATTAGAAAATAATGAAATGTGTACACACTTCCGATTAAAACAAAGTGTCCCTCAATGCGGCAAACTTTTCATATTTTTTTGTTTCAGAGTGTATAATGTTTAGTTTTCTTATTACTGAATGGTAAGTTTCAATAAAATATATGTTTGCTTATATTTCTTTTCATACAAATCTATTTACAGAGCTACTTACCATGCGTCGAACTCATCTCGCTTGCACTTAAGAAACGCTACCGACTATATTGTCTGCCATTTCACTTTTGTGGTCAAATTGTATTCCTAAAGCCGAATTTCATAGTCNAAGAATGAAATGTGTACACACTTCCGATTAAAACAAAGTGTCCCTCAATGCGGCAAACTTTTCATATTTTTTTATTTCAGAGTGTATAATGTTTAGTTTTCTTATTACTGAATGGTAAGTTTCAATAAAATATATGTTTGCTTATATTTCTTTTCATACAAATCTATTTACAGAGCTACTTACCATGCGTCGAACTCATCTCGCTTGCACTTAAGAAACGCTACCGACTATATTGTCTGCCATTTCACTTTTGTGGTCAAATTGTATTCCTAAAGCCGAATTTCATAGTCCGCAGGTGGTACAAATCAAGGAGTTTTTGAGAAAAAAAGAGCAAAATTGAGTTTTTGAATTGTCGTAGGAAAACTATGCTAAATTTATTTGCAAATTTCCATTAGTTGGGAAATTATAAAAAAATAGTATTTTTTTAATCTCGAAAAGGATGCGTTTTTGGAAAAATATTAAATCTAATATATTCTATCTAAAAAATATCTAGTACTATTCATTATGGAATTTAGTGGATATTGGCAAACGTGGATTTGTTGAGAAGAAAACTACAAACATTTTCTATGCATTTTTTATATTTTCTTAAAAAAATGTAAATAAAAAAGTATTCGAATAGGTACAATTGTAAGTGATAGGTAAAAAATATATATAAAAAAAACTAAAAACTAAACTTAGGGCTACTACATTTGTATAAAGCTTTTCTTAATTTACATTTGACTATCATATATACAAAATTCAACAACATCTAACGTCACTGTGCAGTAACAGTACAAAGATTTTAATTGCCGTACAAGAATGTCTCTCATTCCCTTCGTTGAATAAAGAATGACATTTGTCCACCGTGATTTTTCCAATAAAACTCGTTTGCTAATGGATATATTAAAAATCACAAGTAAGAATAACTCGACTGGCATTGGAGGTAATATTTACAAATTTACATTTACTTTACGGAAAGTAATTAATAACCAGAACGTCCGGGGGCTCCGTACTCGCTAGAGGGCGCTGCCGGAGCCGAGGGGGCACCGTAAGAACTGGCAGGTTGGCCACTGGCCGGATATCCACCGCCACCTTCTTCCTTCTGAAAATAATTGAGTTAGTTCAATTTAAGACCAATCATTTTTTTTGTGGAAAGGAATAAGGAAATGGGAGATGGAAAATGATCCAGATTTTCTGTTTACGATTTCTTACCTGAGTCTTGTATCTGATGAAGTAGACTTCTGGTTTGCTTGGCTGCGTGGGTGCTGGTGTGGGGATGGTGATTTCTGGTTCTGGTTCAGGTTTCTTCACCAATACGTAAACCAAGGTTTTCTCTTCATTCTGTGGTTGTACTGGGATTATTGGGGCAGTTGGGGTTGGTGGAGTCGGTGCCTAAAAAAGTCTAGGGTTAAACAACCGTATTCCTGTATGTCTTGCTGGGGTATTTTATTGGTAGAAAATTTTAAATATTTAATGCTTCTTAAAATAAAATTGGAAATCAGACCGCTTACCTTAATGAAGATGATCTTGTAGTGTTTCTGTGCTGGGGCCACCGCGATGGGCTTCCTTGGAGCGGGTAGGTCGGTCTCTGGCGGCGGCACATGAACGTACACGTGCTTGTGGATGGTGGGGGGCTGGGCAGGTGCCCCGTACTGTGGGGAGGGACCTGAGGGGTAGCCACCGCCGCCGCCGCTGCCGCCGCCGGTAGGACCGCTTGGAGCGCTGTAGCTGTAACCTGCTTCAGGCCTCGCAAGGGCTACCGCCACCACAGCAAAAAGAACCTACGAGAGAAGTAAAAATAATGAAGATACTTGTAATAATAAATAATCATGTATACATGGTGTGTCATTTAACACTCCCGCTGCCAATATCTTCGAAAGGAAGAAATTTATTTTAGTTCCGGAAACTGGGGTTGTTAGGTTCCTCGAAAAACTTCAAATTGTAGTTAAAATTTTTAGTTGAAATCTTTCTGTATACAGGGTGTCCCTGAAAAGGATAGACAATGCTTGACCACAGGTTCCTTGGATGAAAATAATACTATTTAGCCTAACTTACCTATACACAAAAGTGCACGCCTACTGAGATATAGCCTTCTAAATATAGAATAGATAACCTATTTTTTTCAAATAATTTGAAAACTATTTTTCTTAGAAACTTCAAATTTGGTACACTTATTTTTTTATATAAGGGCAAGGTAAATATAGAATTTGGAGAGAATACATATACAGGATGTTCTATTTCTAGTGCCTGTGCGCCACTGGCTATCCCGTAACTTTTTTGTGTGTATGCCAATGACGACAGAATTTATATTTTTAAAAATAAGCACTATTTTAGAAGATTTTTTTGCTCTTACAAAATTTCGATATCGTTTATGGATTTCGAGTAAAATTCGCATTTTTTATACATTAAATATAGGCAAAAATTCCGATTTATAAAAAATAATTTATAACTGCAGCCTCAAAGCAGGGAATAATAATGAAAAAACGTCACATTAAAAAAAATAACTACACATTTTTGGTATTAGTATTATCAATCAATAAAATAAAAATCAACACTAATATTTTAAATAAACAATATCAACTAATAATGTAAGAAAGTCAACATTAACATTTTAAATAAACTGATATTTGTAATCACATTAAAATAATATTACAGTAAATGCTCAAAGTTACTTTCTTGTTCTTAAACGCAAACATTAGTTCTTCGAAAATTAGAAATTATCCAATAATTGTGCATTACCTCTCATAACATTAATTTCATGTTGTATTCTTTCCCATATTCGTTTTCTGTATTTACTGAAAAGTTATTTTAAACTGTGGTCCTCAACGCTCCCCAAATGAAATAATTACATGGGTTTAGGTCCGGGGATCGAGGTGGCCATTTTAAAAGGGCATTATTTCCTCTACCTATCCACCTGTTAGACCTTTAATAACCTGTAATACCTACCTGTACCCTGTAATACCTGTAACCTGTAATAACACGTCTTTTAATACTCTATTAAAGGAATTTTTTGAAAGCCAACCTCTGCCGCTAAACACCTTTTATTTACTTGACGAATTTCTTCGACCCTTTCTCAAATTTGTTCCTCCAGCTGAATAATTCCGGCCGTACATTATCCACGATTTAATGTTACAGGTAAAAAACGTCTCTCCGCATTAGCAAATGTTTTGTGATTTGGAAATCTTTCAGCATATGTTCAAAATTTTTGATTCCTGGAACGTGGAAATGCAGTCTATCTAAAAGATCGTTAAATTTTGAGTAATTTTTGTAATATAAAGTTGTTCCCAATGATTATTTGTTTTCGAGATATGTCGACTTTAATATGCAATGTATGATGTAACAGAAAAATCTATTATTTTATTTAATCACACTGAGGCGAAATATTCTTTTAAACTATTGTTATAATGGCTTTATTATCACCATATACTAACTAACATACAATAAATTATAAAATGATGATGATGATGATCAACTACAGAAAAAGTAACAGAAAGTATTTAAAATAATAACGGAAATGTAGATGGTAAGTTATTAAAACAAAGACTATAATAAATGTTCAAAATTACGACCTTCATCATTAATACACATGTTAGTCTTCTCTTTAGTTCCACATTACAGACTCTTAACAAAATTTCACGATATAAAGCTGTCGTAGTTGCATAAATTGATAAAATAAAATTACCATTGTAGAATTTTTTTGTAGTTTTACAGAAAGATTTTAACTAACAACTGCAATTTGAAGCTATTCGACGAACCTAAGAACCCTAGTTTCCGGAACTAAAATAAATTTCTTTATTTCGGAGATATTGGCAGCGGGAGTGTTAAATGGCACACCCTGTATATCAGAAGTGTACTTTTTTATAATATAAAAAATGGCACGAAATTAGTGTGCAATATTTTACCAGTTTAATTATTTCTAAATTAAAACAACATAAATTATAAGGAGCATAAGCGGAGCAATTCTTCTTAAGGGAGCTTTATACAACCCTTTTTAGATGCGCTATTGATCATATTTTTTTTAAGTTATATCTGAAACCACTCAATGAAACATTTTATTTTGGAATTGAGTATTATTATATTGTGGAAGTAATAAAAATGCTTCTCAGGGAGGTTATGGACAAATATTTTCCCGTCCTTTTCATAGACGAGTCTTTTTCGAAAAAAATGATTTCTAGTAGAATTAAACTCGATTTCCTTGCTAAATTTGTACGTGAAATAAATATTTTTTTTACGATTTAGACCAATTTAATCAAAGGTCAATACCTACAGGGATAATAGCTTTGTAAAATTAATTTTGCGGCACATTCAAAATCAAAAATTTTTATATCATAAACAATATTCTATACACTGCGCTGTATCGAAGCTAAAATTTATAAATCATGTTTCTAAACGTTATTAATTCAAAAAGATATACATTTTGGAATTATTAAATTATTGGGTTGGGGAATAAGCAATGTCCGTTTTTTTTTCAAATTTAAAATATTTGATGATTTTTTGATGTATTATTCTTGAGAATGGAAGAAAACCTCAAATATCTGAGAAAATTGAAACTGTAATCCCTAAAATGCCTATATCGGTGAAAAAACAATTTGATTTTCTATAACAAGGTGTAAAAAAATATAGGGTCTTCCGTTTGAATTTAAAAAGTTTTGTCGGTTTTAAGTTTTCAAAATGTATCTTAAAAAATGGGACATTTAGTATAATTTTCTCCAGATAATTTTGGTAGTAACAGGTAGTGCATCTTATGTTCTTTGTGTGTTGTGAGAAGCAAGTGAAAGCGTCCAGAATGAAGAAAGTAATAAGAAATTTTCGAAACGCTTACATCTGTCAAATTTTTATAAAATGTCGATAATCTCGAAAATGGTTATATTTTTTGACTTATTCTTCATTTACCTTGTCGATAATGCAATAATATAGGGTATAGGGTGTTCCATTTAAAATAACGAAGTTGACAGCTACTTCCGGTATAACCGGAAGTGCTAAGTTGACAGCATTATTTTCATTAAACAGAACATATCTGATAACTCCCGTACACAAAATTTCAGAGACAAATGTTACATACTTCAAGGGTATAATCTAAAACTTAAATGGTGTCGATTTAACCATACTTGATTAAACGAAAAATGTCGCAAAAAAAAGTTACAGTGTGTTAAAGTTTCTTTTTTTATTTCTTGCTTTTTCCTTAGCTCAGAACCCAGTTAACCGATTTGAGCAAAATTTGCTGTTGTTTAGTTTCTCTTCATGAAGTTTGCAGTGATTATGTTCCTATTATACTCCGCGGTCGAAATTATAGAGAGTGACTAATGGCTAGCTTTTGGACTAGTAAGGGGGATGAAGCGTGCCGGGAACGAAAATCCATTGGCGTGTCTGCGTAAAAGGCAACAAGATATAGAAAATAATGAAAAAAGATAATAAAACATAACATCTAATATTTTTTACGGTAGCTATAACAGGTACTTTGATCCATTTTAATTATTACAGCATTTTAAAACGTCCCAATTGTGTTTTTTTAATTTATAAATTTATTATAGCCATGGAATTAGACCCCTCGTCTACGCTTATGATATGACGTTTTTCAGGACGTGTTAAATCAAGACCGTTTACACCCACTAAAAAAGCATTTCCCTATTCCCTACCAAGTGCAAAAGACAAGAGATAGAATATAGATCGACGTTCAGTGTAACTCGGTCTCTAGACGGTTATAGATTCTATCGATGTGCGTAGCGAGCAGCACAAAGATAAATAATATTGAACCGTATAAAAATCATTTTATATTTTATACGCATTATGGTAATAGTGTTTTAATATTATGTATGAATCACTCTCTATAATTTCGACCGTGGAGTATAGGTTAAATCATACAGGGCGTTCATTTTACTACAACCCTTTGTGAATATTCTTCTGTTACTTTTTTGTATGTTTAAATTTTTACAACACCCTGTTTTTTGTGACATCTTTCGTTTAAGCAAGTTTGGTTAAATCGACACTATTTGGGTTCTACATTATACTCTTGAAGTATGTAACAATCTTTAGGTGACACTCTGTATATGAAACTCGAAGTATCAGTCCGATTTGACCGATAAATAAAAGAAATTATAGACACTTCTTGGAATATTAAAAAAAATGTTTTTTTTTCTAAACATTCGAAGGTTCGAATTTTTGTTCTCATCATTATGTGAAAAACGTCCCTTTAGAGTTTGTGCGCTTTGTCGTGGTCCACGACTCGTGGAACACTCCGTATGTGCAACACACTGATAAACATCAGGCAATGAAGGTTATGAAACGCTGAAGGATTGCAGCAAAACAATTTGTCTTACGTGGATACGTGCAATTAAGCGCCTAACGGGCAAATGGTAATTTCAAGCGAAATTACAGTTGCGGAAACGGGCGATAACAAAGACGTTGCGCAACCAACGCAACCATAAACATCACCATCCAACCTAACCTAACATTTAGTAGCTCACGTACGCCTTAGCCGCAAATAATAGAGATGTGCAGGGGGCTACTTTCTATTTCTTGTTCGATGGTCTACTTTTTCTTTTTTCGTGATGAAGATCGTATCAAGATACGTGTAGCTAATTGGTAATTAATAAATATAGGTTATGTTTTGCGCAGAACATCGGTGTTAGTCGCTAGATAAAATTATAGGGTTCCGGATAATAAGAAGTCTGAGCTAACTTTCTAGGAAATTAGTGGAGGAGACTGACAATTTTTTAGAATTAAGAGTAAAAGAAATGACACTTTTGGTCTTATGATTACTTCTATAATTTGGTGGATTATA